TCCGAGACAAGTCAGTCTGCTGATGTGGCGGGGCTTGGAGAACACATTTAATTTTAGATGTGGAGGGAGGGGGGTAGAGAGAGAAAAGAAAGAAAGAAAGAGAGAGAGAGAAAGAGAGAGAGAGAGAAATAAAGAGAGAGAATGAAAGAGAGAGGGAAAGAAAGAGAAAGAAAGAAAGAAAGAAAGAAGAAAGAAGAAAAGAAAGACAGAAAGAAGAAAAGACAGACAGACAGACAGACAGACAGAAAGAGAAAGAAAGAAAGAAAGAAAGAAAGAAAGAAAGAAAGAAAGAAAGAAAGAAAGAAAGAAAGATGGGAATTTCGAGAACCTGCTAAACCTACAAATACAACGGTATGTTGATATAATGGCATTTTAGTACCTTTTAAAATAATCTAGCCATGATATCAATACTATTGTGTGCGAAAATTAAAAAGGGTGTGTGTGTGTTGTGACACTGGCAATGATGCCACTCATGATGACAGCACCCTCCCTTCAAAATCCTGATAATTTAAGGCCCATGTGTGTAAGGGAGTTTGGAGATTTGGGCCTAAGGTCTTGGCAAGATTTTGGTAGGAGTCTCTGTAAAACCTTAAGTGTTGCCAGGATTCTGGCTTGGTTAGAGTTTCTGCCCTGCTGATCAGTGACAGCTGCAGGGCAGTTTTGCCTCCCTGAGAAGTCTGACCTTGGGAGATTGCTCTGTAGAGCTCCTAATTCACCTCCCCGATTTCCTTTTACCAGACGCCAATTAACTGATCAATCTTAGATTGGCTAGTGAGTGTTAGAAAAAGGTGGCTTTTGGCTACGCACGCCTTGACTCTACGGATTCTCAACAACGCTTTGCTATGCTTGCCAAGCAGGGGTCATTTCGTAGCATAACTCATTAGCAAGCTCATTTTGCATTGACATCAGGGGCCCGGCGATGGACCTGCAAGGCCAGCGGAAGTGCGAGGAAGCCCCGCCAAGGCCCTCCCTGGCCCCAGGCACGCAGGGGTGGGGAGAGGCGGGGAGGAAGCAACTTACCCTCCCTCTTCTCCTGCCTGAATGAGGGCTGGAAGCGGGATGGCCGGAAGCAGGGGGCGCTATCTGGGGGGGAGGGCTCTGCAACTTACCTGGCTGCTTCTTGCTATAACTGAGGGCTGCTGGGAGCAGGGGGTGGGGCTTGTTGCATGTGTCCGCCCCCGGGCTCTTTACTGCCGGAGCTCCGCTCCTGTGCGCTCCTGTAGGAAATGACCCCTGTTGCCAAGTATGAAGAGACTCTTTGGCCCTTTCTGCACTGACAGCTTGCTCCAGAGAATCTAAGGAGTCAAGCCTTAAGGGTTGACTTAACAGTCGCACGTGTTCCCTCTAAACGGTTTCCCCCTCCCCCTCAGGTTTATTTATTTGTATATTCTGTATGCACTCTGCATCTACAAGCAAAACCTTCATTTGGTGAGCTAACTGGTTGCTTTGTCTAAAAAGAAGAGAAAGGCAAACATCGTTCTAAACTTTTAACTGCAGGCCCAACCCCTCCCTCCCTCCCTCCCTCCCTC